TGTTCTAGAAACTCCTGATAATGGTAGGCAAATGTTCGTTCCTTGTGCCCTGGGTGGCTCATCGGTCCCTCTTCCTGCCGAGAGTAAGCAATGAAACCACTGAAGGAAAGAAAGCATGGAACATTATGGATTTTGGTGCCGTAACAATATCGTGCTCCTGGGCATCATGAATCTTTGTGACAAACCCAGGAAACAGGCTCACTGATCTCTAAAGAACTAACTCTAAAGTAGCTTTTTGGACCACACCCAACTGGCTACAGCTCAACCCAGATAAAATAAAAATGAGCCTAACTAAAAACTGGAGAAATTGGCAATCTGACAAGGAATCCAATATCAACTCTTTTTAAGGGCCAACACTGTCAGGCTGGTGAGTAATTTTGTGGTAAATTGCTATTTTCAGAACCCCAAAGGAATGCATTGGTGAAAAATGCGTTCTTTCACCTCTAACTCATCAGGAAACCAAGAGCCAGACATGAAATGTAACTCTAGAAAGTATTGTCTCGAATTTACTCAATGTGCAGTCTGACTAGCTTAAAGTGGAGACATACCGATAACAGACATGCTATCACCAAGTAGAACCCCATGAAGCATTCAACTTGGTCTGTGTAGAGAGCAATCAAGGGCAACCTCACAATGAAGTAAGCACTGAACCAAGGGTCAAGAGTTCAGGCTCTGTCACTAAGCCAACTGTGTGAATTTATACTTACCTCTCCTATTCCTCTTTTCTCCTTCACTTGAAAGAGTTCATGCATACCAAAAACTATAGACAGAATACATATATTTGTACCTAGGTTCATCAGAACCTACCATTTGGACTTATTTATTTCAGCTTGTTTTTAAAAATATAAAACATATTCACAGACTGTTGAAGTCCTCTGACTTTCTCACCCGGCCTCCCATCTCATTCTCTCCAGCCCCAGAAGTATAAACACTGTTCTGATTTCTGCTATCATTTGCATGCCTGTTATTAAACTGTTACATTGGAGGTGCAAATCCATAAACACTACTAAGTATTGTGCTGTGTGTTTGGAAACTTTGTATAGGTGATATTATGTGTACATACAAAAGTCAGCATGAACGTAAGAGTGAAGAACAGGAGCCCCGAAGCCTTGCTGTCTGCGTTCAAAGAGCAGTCATACCACTTCCTTCCTGTGAGCCTTGGGCAAATTACTTAAACTCTCTGTACCTCCCTTTCCTCATGTTTTAAACAGAAAACATAGTGGAACCCAACTTAAAAGTTATCAATGAAGATTCAATGCACTGAAATCTAGAAAGAACTTGTAAAAACTAAGCCCTAGGTCAAGTGTTATCTGTTACTATTCAAACATGTTATAGTATTCCATTATGTGAATATATTCCAATTCATGTATCTAGCCTCCTCTTGATGAACATTTAGATTGTTTCCAACCTTTAACTATTATAACCATTCTTTAACATGTCTCATGGTGTATATGTAGCCAATTTTCTGTAGTGACTGTACCTAAGAATGAAATTGCTGGGTTTTAGATCAGCCTGACCCTGGCTTTAGCAGATATTAGCACCCAGCTCTCCAATTTATGGTAAAACATCCCACTGTTACTCCAAGTTCCTAATACTCTACATCCTCACCAACCTTAGTGTTGCCTGATCATCATTTCTATATTTGTAAAATAAGGATGGTGAATTAGATGATCTCTGGAGACTTTTTGCATTTTCTATATTCCCCAATTTCCTTTCCATGAATTTCCCACTTTCTCCCTTCACCTAGAGATAAACTAGTCCAGTGAAAAGCAACCTTTTCTTCTGAGTCTATAAGCCTGTTGTTTGGTATTTTATATCCTGAACAGTCTATAAACAAAGACATCCAATAACACAATTTCTGTGGTCATAAGGTAGGATATTACTTAAATCGAGAGTGTTTTAGCCAGGCATACTTCCAACACTGTTAAAACATATCAGTAGTTTCCAAACTTTTTTAAGCAATGGATTTTTTAAAAATACAAATATAAACTGAATTTCAATATAAATGTTACTTGCTCCCCTTCTGCGTGTGTGTGTGTGTGTGTGTGTGTGTGTGTGTGTGTGTGTGTGAATCTCTAATACATATCTTACAGACTGGTAAAAAGCTTCTTGTAGGGTAATTGTCATTATTGTGTTGATGAACTTCCTGAAATTAAGAAATACTAAAATGCTTCCATTTATCTGGTTGCTTTATCCATTAAATTTGCATATTAAATTTTATTTGATCGTGTTTTAATTTCAGACTAGCATATAGTTTGTTATGCTAAAATCTTCTGGAAATATCCATGTTAGGGAAAAAAATGCCCATTATTGCCGAAGAGCTCTGATTTTACTACCTGTAATCTCTGTGAAGAAAAATTGTTTCAGGCTTTGGAGGTTGTCACTGTAGACCAACATTGCCACCTAATGGTGAGAAGTTTAACCATATTATATTTCAAGATGGAAACGTTGGGGTTTTTTTAAAAGATATATGCAAAACTCTGAAGTAATCTATTCCTATGAGAACATTACATTATACTAACATTGGGCAGGCAGGTGCAGAGTAAACACTCATCAGGCACACTGGAAAGACTAGCTGATTGGGCTTCTGCTCCCTCCTTGATCTACCATCTATGAGTTCCAGAATTCTCTCTCATCTGCTCTCAGATGAGTTACTAAAGAACTTCAGATTTCAACCACCTCTCCCTTGTCCTTATATCAAACCTGTCCTACTCTTAAATATGTTAAGACAGGCAATCGGAGTCTGGAATCATTCTAGCATATGGGTGGTTTCTTGGATTAGTAAAAGGTGAGTTCCTGCTTTCGCATCTATCTGTACCCAGGTCAGCATCCTTACCATGAGTCTCCCAAAGCCACATATTTCCTGTCTTTTTAAAAGATTTCTGTGTGAAGCCAGAATCCAGGTGCAAACCTCTGCGTTGCGCTCCAAGTGTCTAAAGTGGGACTTGGCCACGAGCTGTCAGAACCTCCAACTGGCAGGAGTCATGGAAAAGGAACTGGCGTAACCCCCATGACTCAAGTCTTTGAACCAAGAAAGACTTTTCTACATCAGAAAGACTTATAGAGCTTTGGGTCAGAGGTCATCAAATCAGAATGGGTGTCTCTAGCCCAGATCATGCTTGAAGTACCCGCCCTCCTGGATGCTGTGACTGACGCTGTTTCTCCTTGGAAGCCAGCCCCCATCCAGGTCTGTAACCCTCACCCATTCCTATCTTACTAAATCAAGCCTCTTTACAATGTCTTGGGGGCTTTTATAACAGGCAACAAAGCACAAAGAATAAAATGCGTTTGAAAGCGAAGGCATAATAAGAATAAGGAGAAAAAGAGAGTGAAAAGAGTACTTGTCTTAGTCAGCAACGATGTTACATATTAACTACAACCTCCCACTCCAGAACCCGCCACTTCCTCTGTAGTGAAGAAATACTTGCTAGCTGATACTGAATGAATAAAATATAAAATGGCAACATAAGACTGAAAATACCATGCACAGTTCAATGAATATTCTTTTGGTAGAAAAGAATAAACTCTACCATAGGCATACACTGATCAAGGTCCATATAAGTATTTGAAATGTCAAATTAACAAGATACCTTGTAAAGTCATATTATTATAGGCCGGGATAGAACTTTTCTATCAATTCCAATTATCTGTATTAAGAAGAATTTTTTGAACCACCTCTGGGTTAAGCAGCTGAGAGCTGTATGGTTGCTTAGCAATGTCTTCCACAACCACATGCTTCTCACACAGTTCCCTTTTCCGAAATTGCTAAAACAATCCCATTAACCCCTTCCTGGTTCTGTAATTAGGTGCTTCTCAAGCTTTAATGTGGGTATGAATCACCCAAGGGTCTTACTAAAAACTAGATTCTAATCCAGCAAGTCTGGGGTAGGGCCTGAGATTCAGAATTTCTAAGAAGCTACGTGGGGATGCCTGTGCTGGTTTATAGAACTTTCAGATTTCCTCTTCTTTATTTTTTTTTAAATGTTTTTTATTTACTTCTGAGAGAGAGAGAGAAACAGCGTGAGCAGGGGAGGATCAGAGAGAGAGGGAGACACAGAATCTGAAGCAGGCTCCAGGCTCCGAGCTAGCTGTCAGCACAGAGCCCGACGCGGGGCTCGAACCCATGAAACGTGAAATCATGACCTGAGCCGAAGTCGGATGCTTAACCGACTGAGCCACCCAGGTGCCCCACAGACCTCCTCTTCTAACATTACAACAATTTCCTTTGTTAATCATCCAGCAATAGAATTATTTTTATCCCTTTTTTTCTTGCTGGCCAGTCAGATAAGGAAGAGAGTAGCCACTGCTGTCAGGCTTAATAATCAGAGAGGTTTTTTTTTTAAATTTATTATAAAAGATTCCTACATTTTATGATTTTTTTAATGTTACATATTTCTATATAAGCATATATATGTGAAGTCTAATTTGTCACGTTTTTATCATAAGAAGTTTCTCTTAACTACACTTCCTAAGTCCAAGAGTACAGTGATTAATATCCTTAAAATGACTCTGAAGCTCTATAAAATCCTAAACCCCCTACTAAATTATCAAATAAAGAATATTCATTATAGTTTTAGGATTTATTTTACTTTATTGCATTCTAATTCTTTTTAAAATGGCATCTTGAACATGACGTTCCTGGTAATTCCCAGTTGCTTCTCAACGATGCAAAATGCCTGAAAGTGAGGGATACTTCTTCACTTTTATAAAACGTATTACACAAAAGGAACACACATGAAAAAAATCAGAAGATATAGAGACTGACAAGTGAATCATTCTATATCTTTGCACATTATCCATTCTGAAAAATCCTAAGTATGATGATTCTTTAATCATAGTACCTCACAAGTGAGTATGTGGTGGGCCCTGTCCCTTGCACCAAAGCACACTTTCCTTATGGAAAAACTCCCCAGCTGAATCTTTCTCTCCTTCCAATTTAGAGTTGCCTAATCACATCACCAAAAGGATCATGAGGCATGTCCTTGTTAATAGCCAGCTTTTCAGTCCTGTGTGGAGTCCACGGGCCCACTTTCAACTCCAGATCCTTCAAGAGCTGAAAATTCTGTGTCAATAAGTGGTTTCAGAAATCGCTCAACCTTAGTGAGTCTTTGCTTCAGTTTCTGCTGCATTGACTCGTACTCAGCCAGGATCCGAGCAAACCTCGTTTGCATGAGGTCTACGGACCCCTCCATTCGGGTGACCTTCTCTTCGAGATCTTTAGGATCACTTCCAGCATTTGCGACATTTATATCCAGCAGACCATCTTTCATCAAGATTTGCCTTCCTTTCTCTTCTAGCATAGTTTTGGCATCTGGGTACTCAGTCAGAGCTTCCATGAGGTCATCTTTTGAGAGACAGAACAGATCCGAGTAGCCAATACTTTTGATATTGGCTGTTCTTCGATTGCCAGCTTTGCTACCTTTAATGTTAAGGATGCTGATCTCACCGAAGTAGCTACCATCACTCAATACCACAAACTGAGTGATTCCATCATCTGCCACCACAGCCAGTTTGCCTTCCTTGATGATGTACATCTCTCGCCCAATATCTCCTTTCTTGCAAATGTAATCTCCAGGACTGTAGACTTGGGGCTGTAATTTCAAGACCAACTCCACCAACAGACCAGCCTCACAGTCCGCAAAAATACGCACTTTTTTTAATGTGTCTAAGTGAACGTTGATGGCGATCTCTGCTCTCAGCTTATCAGGTAGATACTTCAAGACTTCTCTCTCATCAACCGTTTTTTGGTTGGTCCACAGGTAGTCGAACCATTTAATAACTCTCTTTTCCATATCTTTGCTTACATTTCGAAAACGCATATACTGCTTGATGGCATCGATTCTTGCTTGAAATTCTGCTCTGGCAGCATTCATATTGGAGATCATAGAACCTATGTTACCAACGATGGTAGCAAAAATTAACACTCCAATTAAGAAGTCAACCACCACAAAGACAAACTCAGAATCCCTCACAGGAGGTGGTGTTTCACCAATTGTGGTCAAAGTCAGTGTAGACCAGTAAAGGCTGTACACATATTTTCTAGCCAAACGGCCAAATTCAGGATCATTAACATCAGGATACACCCATGTGTCATTTCCAAATCCAATAGCTTTGGAAATAGAGAAGTACACACATGCATTCCAGTGGATAATGATGACAATATACATAACAAGATTGGAAATCCTGAAGATGTTTGGGTAGTTTGTTCTCGTTTCTGTTCTCTGGAAGAATTCAAACATCCGAGAGATCCTTAACAGTCGGTTCAATCTAATTTCTGGATAGTTCCACCCTAGCTTGAAATACAGCAGATCAGTTGGTATCAGTGATAGAAAATCAAGTTTAAATTGCAAGTTTGATTTATATTTCTCTATGAGTTTAACCTCTTCCTTCACCAGCAGTCCTTGTTCCAAGTAACCTAAAATAGGAAGAAAAAAATTTAATGCTTTTCACTTTAAGCCATTATGAATTTTTTCTAAAATAACCTTCAATGAACTTCGCTGAGTTCAAAACAAGACTTCATTTCCAATAAATATGCTTTTAGCAATGCAGTCAGATATGAGTACCAATCAACAACTAGCTATGGAAAATATTATTTTGCAAAAATAAAAAATTAAACCTTGTAAGTGCAAAGTGAGAGATTATATCCAACGTATATATGCCAATCTCTCTAGATCCAGCTTGTCTATCTATGTAAAGCCAAGAACAATGTTCTTGGGAAGTTTTCTAAAACACCCTAGCTTTTGTGCCTAAAGCCTCATGGCTCTCTCTTGTCAGAATCCTAGCCCCACCCTTGAAATTTGGGTACCTGCGTTACTGTCAGTTATGTGTATTCTTGCCTTGTCCCTTCAATGAGAAGAATAAGTGTCCTTTGAAGGTTCGTTTTCTCTCTCCCCCATGTCCCTCAGGCTTTCTTAGATGTCTGGTATCTTCCCTTTTCCTACGTTGCCACGGTGGGCCTTGACTTTTAGCATTCTGATACATTTCACCAAGGAAAGAATTTGTTCCTCTTTCTGTACTGGCCACCAGAGCTGTAACTAGGATAAAACAACAGGAGCATTGCTCCAGCACACTGGTATTTAGAGCATGTCCTTATTTTACATAATGATCCTTAAATGTTGTTCTCTGTACAGTGATTACCTTTGGATGTAGACAGCAGTGTAGAAACAGTAAGTTTATGCCCACTTAACAAGCATACTTCAGTGGGAAGCTATCAGATCCTGCTCCTTGGTCAATAATGCCTCACCATGACTACAAAGTTAAGGATGTGTGTACTGTTAGAAAGAGAAATCAAGAAACTGATCCCATGTACAATTGCACCAAGAATCATAAAATACCTAGGAATAAACCTATCCAAAGATGTAAAAGATCTGTATGCTGAAAACTATAGGAAGTTTATGAAGGAAACTGAAGAAGACACAAAGGAATGGAAAAACATTCCATGCTCACAGATTGGAAGACTGAATATGGTTAAAATGTCAATACTACCCAAAGCAATATACACATCCAATGCCATCCCAATCAAAACTGTACCAGCATTCTTCTCAAAGCTAGAACAAACTACCTAAAAATTTGTATGGAACCACAAAAGACCCCGAATAGCCAAAGTAATATTGAAGAAGAAAACCAAAACAGGAGGCATCACAATCCCAGACTTTAGCCTCTACTACTGTAATCATCAAGACAGTATGGTATTGGCACAAAAACAGGCATATAAACCAATGGAATAGAATAAAGAACCCAGAATTGGACCCACAAATGTGTGGCCAACTAATCTTTGACAAAGCAGGAAAGAGTATCCAGTGGAAAAAAGACAGCCTCTTTAACAGATGGTGCTGGGAGGACTGGACAGCAACATGCAGAAGAATGAAACTAGACCACTTTCTTACACCATACACAAAATAAACTCAAAGTGGGTGAAAGACCTAACTGTGAGAAAAGAAATCTTCAAAACCCTAGAAGAGAAAGCAGGCAACAACCTCTTTGCCCTCAGCTGCAGCAATTTCTTGCTCAATACATCTCCAAAGGCAAGAGAATTAAAAGCAAAAAATGAACAATTGGGACCTCATCAAGATAAAAAGCTTCTGCACTGCAAAGGTAACAATCAACAAAACTAAAAGGCAAACAACGGAATCGGAAAAGATATTGGCAAATGACATATGAGATAAATGGTTGGTATCCAAAACCTATAAAGAACTTACCAAACTCAACACCCAAAAATCAAATAATCCAGTGAAGAAATGGGCAAAAGACATGAATAGACACTTTTCCAAAGAAAACAGCCAGATAGTCAATAGACACATGAAACGATGCTCAACGTCACTCATCATCAGGGAATTACAAATCAAAACCCAAATGAGATACCACCTCACACCAGTCAGAGTGGCTAAAACGAACAAATCAGGAAACTACAGATGCTGACGAGGATTGGGGAAATGGGAAACCTCTTGCACTGTTGGTGAGAATGCAAACTGGTGCAGCCACTCTGGAAAACACTGTGGAGGTTCCTCAAAAAATTAAAATTAAAAATCGAACTACCCTATGACCCTAGTAGTAGCAATAGCACTACTAGGAATTTATCCAAAGGATACATGATCACTGACTCATAGAGGCACATGTATCCCAGTGTTTAGAGCAGCACTTTCAACAATAGCCAAGTATGGAAAGAACCTAAATGTCCATCAAATGATGAATGGATAAAGAAGATGTGGTTTATATATACAATGGAATGCTACTTGGCAATGAGAAAGAATGAAATCATGCCATTTGCAGCAATGTGGATGGAACTGGAAGGTGTTATGCTGAGTGAAATGAACCAGTCAGAGAGAGACAGATATCATCTGATTTCACTCATATGTGGATCTTGAGAAACTTAACAGAAGACCATTTTTGGAAATGAAGGAAAAAAAAAACCTGTTACAAACAAACAGGGAGGGAGGCAAACCATAAGAGACTCTTAAATACAGAGAACAAACTGAGGGTTGATGGGGGGGGGGCGGTGAGGGAGAGGTGGGCATCGAGGAGGGCACTTGTTGAGATGACCACTGTTATATGTAAGTAATGAACCATGGGAATCTACCCCAAAAACCAAAAGCACACTTTACACACTGTATGTTAGCCAATTTGACAATAAACTATATTTTTTGAAAAAAGGATGTGTGTACTATTATAAAATGTTTAGTACAGCTGTGCTGGGTACAGTGATTTCCCCCATGCCTCTTCATGGTATCTCTCCATGAGGTAGCAATTACCCTTTCACCACAGAGCTGGCACAATATTTCTGTTCTCTCTATTCCTCTCACTTGGCCTAAAACCAATGAACAAGATAATGGGGGCAAGCCACCAATCCACATTCAAAAGGTTGCCTAGTAACCTGAATCAGTGGGAGTAGCCTAAGCTTGTGGGTGAGTATGTGGTACTCTTGTTTCCAATGGTGCTTTTTCTTGTAAAATAGACCTGTGAGCTTATTTTGAAGAAGACTTGAATTAAGAAATTTCAGATTATACTATAGAGATAAAAGCACAAAATTGCAAAATATCCAAAGCTGAACATATTTACCTGTCCTTGTTCGTACAAACATATCAAGAAGATAGACTACATCTGATAGGTAATCAAAAATGAGCCAATATTCTAAGTAATCAGACTGAAGTTCATCAAAACATGCTCTGTCAAAGAAAAACATGCAAATAAAATTAAATGGGAGCCAGTTTAAGTAAAAGTCCTCTCTGTATAATTTTTATCATGATAAGAGGTATAATGCACCAAGGCTAAGAGGGTTCTTAGAGTCTATTTAATCAACCACAGCTTTTCCAAATCTGAATGGTTGGATTTCGTTTTCTCACGCTTCTGAAATCCAACATTCTTTCTATTATACTAGTTCGTTTTGTGGAAACATCAAATAAGAATAAATGTCCTCAAGCTAATGTCAAAATATATTGGCTTATACACATTGATCTCCAGGTTCTTATTGAGTATCTGCACCCAAAATGCTTCCAGGAATGGTGCTTGGTCCTGGGTGGCTGAGATGTTTACTGTCTAAAAGACAGAGAACAACAGACATACCTGAGAAACATAGCTTGCTTGAAAACAACCTAAATCTTTGATTTTTTCCTCTCCTGGCAACATTTTTTTCTTAGGCTACAAAAATAAAGTTTCTCCCAAAATTCTAATTAAACGATTCAGCAATCAAAAGTTTAAAAATATCCCCCTACACCCCATCCCAGTACTAGATTTCCAAGTATACTGGGAACCAATGCATCTACACCTGATGTCAGGAAAACACGTTGAGAATAATATAACCTCTCTTTACAACCAGAGGCGGAAAAAGGAGGTATGTCCTGAAGAGCTCTGGACCAAACTGTTAAGTCAGTTAACTCAGAAACTAGAAGCAAGTCGAGATCCACAAAAATATATAGATACCTTGCAATAATCATAGTCCAGTTGTACATAACAGGCAAGGTGATGCAAAACAGCCAGTTGTAATACATGTTCCCTGAGGGATCAATAACCTTGACTTCTTTCTTCTCCCTAGCAGCAATTAGAAATGAAGTAGAAGGTTACCAAGAAACAAGAAATTTTTTATGTCAAATATTAAATATGGTTATGTCCGTTACCCACAATTAATGAAACAGAACTAAGCCAGAGAAGCTCACCCTACAGGGAGAAGATTCGCTTGGCATGAGTGTATTAGACATCAGAAATTGCTTAGTGAGGGCTGACTAGATGGTTAAATGATTAGTCTTACATGAAACCTTACACTAGACTTTTATTAAAGCCCTTGTTTTGCTATGATGCTGCAGCTACTTCTTCCATCAATTCAACCACTGAAAAGGAATAATGGCACAGATCATGCCAGACTCTGGATATTCCAAAGGCTTCCTTGGTAGCTTGCGGGTGGTGAGCGAATGGTGGTGTTACCACTCCTCCTCCCAGGTAACAAAACAATCAGGAACTACACTGTGAGAGGGAGCGCTCACCTGCATGGAAAGAAGAATATAACACAATCTAATAAAAGGTACTTGTTCATAAGCATCTATGAAAGATGAAGAGAAAATGGAAGGAAGGAAGGAAGGAAGGAAGGAAGGAAGGAAGGAAGGAAGGAAGGAAGGAAGGAAATATATCATCAAATGGAAAAGTTTTTTTGTCTAGTATCAAGCTTCTATTGGTTTTGGGCATAGGGATTGGGTTTTTTTGTTTGTTTGTTTTTAAGGATTTTATATTTAAGTAATCTTTACACCCAGTGTAAAGCTTGTTGTCCCCTCTACTGACTGAGCAAGCCAGGCACCCCAAGCCTATACTGGAAAGGATTTTTCCCTTTGGAAGAACTTCAATGGCTTTCCAGCAGGCACAAATAAGTGAATATTATTTGGTAACGAGTTTTCTTTAAGTTTAGAAAACAATTTCCCCTTTAATAAAAGGAAAAAGATCGTTTTGAAAATATCATTCAGGGGCGCCTGGGTGGCTCAGTCGGTTAGGCGTCCGACTTTGGCTCAGGTCATGATCTCATTGAGGTTAGTGGGTTCGAGCCCCGCGTTGGGCTCTGTGCTGACTGCCAGCTCAGAGCCTGGAGCCTGTTTCAGTCTGTGACTCCCTCTCTCTCTGACCCTCCCCTGCTCACGCTGTCTCTCTCTCTCTCTCTCCTAGATATAAATAAAACATTAAGAAAAAAGAAAAAAGAAAATATCATTCAGCCTTACCCATATGAAATTCTCACCCTCAAATGTTTGTTTACAAAGGATCTTTCAAATGGCTAGAGTTTTAATAAGCATTTGTACTGCTCTCAGAATTAAGCATGGCTTTTGCAAGAAGACTTGCTTACTTTGGAGTATTGGTCATACAGTATTTATTACTCAAAAATGTTAGTAAAATTATTAATTTTTTAATTTCAATTTAAAAAGCTAGTGGTAAGACCCTAGAAACCCAATCCTCTTGAAATCCAAATATCTCCCAATGGTAAAATTTACCTTTACCAGAACTTAAGGAAGACAATTAACCATAGCATTGAAAAGTCTTGATGACAAAAGCAAGAATAAAACTACCACTGCTCATTTTAAGGAAATTAGAAAAAGATTAATTTCCATTCAGTAACAATTTATTTAGTCTTTTACCCAGGGCTTCGTATTATAAACTTTCAGGCAATTATCCTTACATCCAAAATCCATTACAAATTCATTCCTAATTTCAAGGCCAGTAAAAACACTTACTCTTCTTTCTTATCTTTGCCTTTCTCCTCTTTCTTTTTCTTCTCTTTTTCCTTTTCTTTCTTCTTTTTCTTCTCTGAGTCCTTTTTATTTACATTTTTATCATCTGACTTGCTGAAAAGTGAGAGATGTAGTTAGTAATAAAATATGAAAATGTTATGGGCCAAAATATCAGATATCATTCATGCCAAAGCCTAACTTACCTCTTCTTTTCTTTTTTCTTTTTCTTTTTTTCTTTTGGTTCTCTAAAGAAGAAATAATATCGAAGTCACACAATCAAATTACATTCTGACTTCTGTTCTTATTTATTTCCCTCTCTATTGAGCAAGAAATCAGAGCTTTGTGTTCAGAGACCTGTCCCTGTGCTAGGAACTAGAAATCTGGTCTTCTAATGGAGAGTCTACAAAAATGGACCTGCACCAGATAATAAAACAAACAACCAAAAATCCCTGGGTTAGTGCATATGGAAAATTGAAGATGGGGGGTGGACAAAGGCATAAACCCAACAAAGGAAATTTAGGAAACAACAGCCCCCAAGAGTGCACTTTCAAAGCCTCCATGTGTCCAAAAATATTTATTATTTAAAATGTAAGCCTCTTGATATCACTTATATTAATTATTGAGTAAGAGCTTGAAGAATTTCAAGAAAATGCCATCAGTTTTCTTGAGAGGGATAATCGTGACTGAAGCAATTTTTTATGAGTAGTCAAAAAACTCCACACACTGGAATCCCAATTCTTAGAATCATTCACTGAATTTTCTATCTTTTTTCTATCTACAATTTCTTCTGCAGTGGAGATTATGTGATTTTAGGCTTCTTCCTACAGTTGGCTCTCTCTGTCAGCTGAAGAATGCATTCTGGAGTCAGGCAGACCTAAGGTCAAAATAGGCTGCCATTGTTGGCTCCTCAAGGGTCTTGGGAAAGTTTATTCTTCAGATGTGGATGAACAGGCATGGCACTACCATTAGGGTAGTCAGGGAGGATGTTAAAGGGAGTTACGACTAGGCCTCAAAGTATGGGTAAGGGTTGAAGCAGTTGAGAAGAGTGAGGCCACTAAAAGAAAGAACATTTTCAGGTGCAAATGTACAAGTGAACTTAGTCCACATATGAATCGCCCAGGAAAAGCTGAATGCTGCTATTGAGGAGAAATAGGAAATGAATTAGATAAGGAAGTGGGGCTTGACACCTAAGGCTGTCATGTACAAAGAGGAACAGAACATAAAATGGGACAAGGGAGAATTTATTACCATGAAAGCACACTCTTGTGTTATAGGTTTCAACCCTCTAGCGCAGATCCTTGGAAATGGTGCCGACAACCTGTTGGGATGGCTCTCAGAAGCTCAGAAAAAATGATGATTCATGCTAAGTGGAATAGAAACTGCAAAGTGCCATGACAGGTGGTGGAGGAAAGTATCAGGAAGACTGAGAGAAGTGATGTGCTGAAGTGGACATACCAGGTAAGGAAGATAACCCACCAACTGACTGTGGTCCCTAAGAGGCCTCAGAGGACACAAAAATGATAAGGAATGTGCTGGTGAGAGAGGCACCAGCATCATTAAGGAACTCAGTGGTACAGTCCTCTATAAGCCAGGGCTGGAGTGGGAGATGCTAAACTGGGTACAAAACTGGGTTCCCTGAGAGCAATGGACACAATAGAACCTGGGACTAAGAGATTGGTGGCAGTGCTTACACATCAGAGGAGAGATGGGTCCAATAACTATAATTACCCTGGAGGTGAGCATGGTAGCCAGGGGGCTTAACCCATAGATAGCTATGGAAGAAGTTAATCAAATACTGTATTCCTAGATAGATGGGCATCCTTTTGACTTATTGGGGGTACTGTTTAATGTATACAATGAAAACAGAGCAGGTATGGATGATTAAGAGGTTGAAGGCAACACAACCTGATAAAAAGTCACAACCTTATGAATAGTTTCTAAATCTGAGCCAATTCTCAGAAATGAAACCACTGACTGAAGGAGAAGTCAAGACCCCATGAAGAAAGACTCTGCAAACACCATGACAAGTATATTCAGTAATGATTTCCCCAGTCTTTCGCCCAAAGAAAATCTGTGGTCATTTACATAGGTGACTGTACCCTGGGTGAAGAGGGAGTACCGAGATATATTAAAGACTGTTTGGCATAAGACCTAAGCTGATATTGAGCCCCAGGGATTGAAGCATCATCATGCCTCCCATTAAAGTGGGGGAGGGGGTAGCATATGGTGGCCTAGTAATAACGGAGTCCTATATGATTTATGACTTAGGGGGTTTCCACTGGATCTAAAGATCCCCATTGTGGTCATTTCTCTAGTTCTTCAATGTAACAGTGGAATGTAGACATTTGGTCATTGGCAGAACCCTCATTCCCATTAGTTCCTTGGCTCCTAAAGTAAGAGCTATCATAAGGGGGAGGGCCAAGTGGAAGCCCTCAAGCTGCCTTCTACCTGCTCGTCGAAAACCATAGAGCATCCTGAACAAGAAAGAAAATGTAATCCTTAAAGACCTAATGCATGCAGGGGTGGTGGTCTCCCCACATTTAATTCAATGTCTTGTCCCTACAAAATTCACATGGATACTAGTGAATGGCAGCAGACTACTGCAAAATCAAACACATAGCAGCCCCAATTGTGGCTCCTACGGGAAATGTGAAAAACAATGCATTCATGCAATCTAAACCATATGCCTAGTGTTCTGGGCCAGTCACAGTCCTTACCTGTGTTATTTTTTTATCACTACCAGGGAAGAGAACCCTTCCTGGGTTTCCATCCCAATAGTTACGGGATGGAAAATGGCACACTTATAGTCTTTTCCAGGGATATGTTATCTCTCCTGATTAATGTCGTAACACAGCCTAGAAGGACCTAGACTATCTGGACATTCCTCAGAGCCTCACATTGGCCTACTATATCAATGGCATCATGTTAACAGGGCCTTGAAAGAGGACTCACTAACCATGGGACCAAAAATGACCATTGACCACGAGTTGGATTCTGTACAGACTAACAAGTCATAAGGTTGTATACCAATCTATCACATGATGAAGCGGTATATCTGGGATTGAGCAGGTGGCTCACTACCCTTCCGTCATGTCATCTACCACTGTTGCATCAGCCCCTACTCTTCAACTCTCCAGCATGGCCATATATGTGGGTCTTACAGGTCATCATCTGTGATGAACTGGTCAATGAATGGGTCAGCTTGACATCAGTATACAAGCCAAAATGGGCTATGTGTATATCATAGCCCTACTTAGAAGTGACCTTGAAAGATAATGGTAAAGTTAATCTTTCTAATGTCACAGCTTCAAGCAGTGCACAGTCATCTATTTTGTGTGGAAAAGCAAATGGCCATGTATGGGTCTTGTAACCAAGGAGCTGAAGTAGGAGTGACTCGCATAGGAAATGTGTGCTTCTCATCCCCACAACCTTATGCTCTGTGGAGCGAGAGGTTTCCAAGTAGGTCATGTGTCTTCCAGGGAACACAGTAATGGCCCATTAAACATTAAGCTATGGACTGCTCCCTAGTCATGTTAGGCCCCTCATGCCACAAAACCAATAGGCAAGAAAGGGTGTTACCATACTGGCAAAAGAAACTGACTTCTTTAATCAGAACTAGATAGTGTTGCTGTGTTATATATGGCGGGGGGGGGGGGGACAGATTGGAGTATATTTGGCACATAGATGATCCACTCTGGTGTCTCTGGTGTTCTCTGCCCCACTTTTAGTGGTAAATGGACAAATACAGCAGCTATAACTCAAGGAAGACACAGTGACCAGGGGCTCAAATCCATCAGGAATAAGGGTCTGTATCATTCAGTCCACAAAATAAATCATCTAGACCGACAGAAGTGCTGGCCAGAGGTGACAAGACTCTGGAATGAGTAGGAAAGGAGGGCATAAGCAATTTCAGTTGAAGCCTCAAGACCAGCTGCAGTTGTTAGGGACCTGAGTTCTTCCCATTAACCTTCCTCTTATAAGCTTCCTCAGGAAAAAAGAATGAGATTCCTGGAGGAGGTGTTCCCAAATGGGGTGAATATTCTATATGAAGAAAGCAGACCTGAGCAGTGCAAGAAGTGTGCTATGGATGCAGTAGTGTACAGAACTCTGGCACTCATTCCCCACCTGCCAAGAGTATTGCTTGCTCACAGCTCACAGTCCCCCTATCCTTTGTCTGGCTTTGGCTAAAGGAAGCCACCATGCTCAAAACTATGACCCCCCCCCCATTCTAGGGAGAGCCATCATCCAATGACTGTGCATGAGTGCAAAGGCCCAATCCTACTGCCCAACTATGACACAACTCTGAAGGGCCATCCTTGCTCTAGAGCTTTCCATGGGATCATATGACACGTCAACTCTATTCTCTGAAGTTCAACTTCTCCCTCTGCCCGGTTCTGCTCCCCTAACTCCCTTCTAGGTATCATTCCTAAGTTCACTCCCAATAAACCTTTGCGCACAAACCTCCTTCTCAGAGATTGTCTCCTAAGGAATTGACCTAAGACACATTGGCTCAGAATGGAAGGGATTACTGATATTTCATTTATTTTTGTCCACCAGGTGGGGCAACTGCATTTACACTGTAGACTGTAGTTTGAATATACATATTCAAACACATATACATACATAAATATATGCTGCTTTTAATATGGGTAGCCACATTTTTTTAGAATAACCCCATGACAAAATAATAGAATACCATTGCCATTGTATTAAATAGAGTTTTCCTAATAAAGATTTCCTCTATAGCAGATTCAGATATATTCCTACATGTTACTGGTGTTCTTTAAAAGCAAAGCTTTGGTTTTCTATTGGAAATGTACTTACTGCTCCTTATTGCTGCTGTTGTTAACATTGAAAAGTGCAATGGTGCCAGGGAGGTACTGCTTCCTGGAAAATAAAAAGTACACTGAAATCATAATTGTTACCAACTGCATAATGTCCATGATCTTAAAGAACAGTCTTTTTTAAAAATTCTTTTTTTAATGCTTATTTTATTTAAGAGAGAGAGAGAGAGAGATAGAGCATAAGCAGGGGAGGGACAGAGATAGAGGGAGAGAGAATCCCAAGCAGGCTCCATGCTGTCAGTACAGAGCCTGATGCAGGGCATGAACTCACAAACCGTGAGATCATGAGTGGAGCCACAATCAAGAGTCAGGTGCTTAACTGACTGAGCCACCCAGCTGCCCTAAGAAGTCTTAAAGAACAAGTTAACAGGGCATCTGGGTGGCTCAGTCGGTTTAGCAGCCAACTTCAGCTCAGGTCATGATCTCGTGGTTCATGATCTCACGGTTGGTGGATTCAAGCCCTATGTTGGGCTCTGTGCAGACAGCTCAGAGCCTAGAGCCTGCTTGGAATTCTATGCCTCCCTCTCTCTATGCCCCTCCGCCATTTGTGCTCTGTCTCTCTCTCGCTCTTTCTCAAAAATAAATAAACATTAAAAAAAATTTAAAGAACAACTTATCTTCAGTTGCTAACTACTCCCTAGACAATTTTTGAAAATACGGAGCCTTCACGAAGCTTGAGTTGCTGAATATCAGTGCTATGAACCAAAGTCACTAGTAAATATCTATCAATCAGTGCTAACACCAAAAATTAGCATCCTCCATGGCCTCAAGTGAGCCAACGTGGATGCCAGCAAGAGATCTAAATAAGACTTAGATTGTCAGAGAAGATTGGAAGAGAAGAAAAGACAAATAAAAACACTGGGGAAACTGAAGGTGGTTGGTGGAAACAGAAATAAGAGAGAGGAAAAAAGGAGGAAGAAAAAGCAAAGAAAAAGTAAGTATGTTCCACGGTAGGGGAACTCCCGATCCACACCAAAATCACATTCGTTCCACACCCTCAGAGTCAGTGTGTGAAGTTTTCATGAGGGATTCATTTCCTGCTAAGGATTTCTAGCTTTTCTGTTCTAGCTACTCACTCGAGGGTTCTACTTCCCTGAAAGTAGGGTCAAATGTGTACAGCATTTTAGAGGATGACAGCCAACCTGTCCCACATACCACTGCCGCAGGACCCTGAAAGAAGGTTCAGAAAGAAGGAGGAACTTCTGAGGAACCTTCCCTCAGAGAGGACTGGGGCCTGAGGTTCTAACGAGATGGAGACACATCTCAGGGAAAATGATGAGCAAGAGTGTTTGTGATGTAAAGCCCCATGGACATGAATAATCATCAGCCTGTGGTTTCCAAGAGAGGAAAAGGGTAAGTAGCAAGTTACTCCTGAGATCCTGCGTAGTGGCTGGGTAACAGGAACTGTGGTCAGGGGAGGAGGAGAATACCTTTCCTTCATCTAAATAATAGTTTAGAAAGAGATTTGGAGGGATAGATCATACTGCTCACCTCTGTGATGGTCCCCTTATGCATGAGTTATTTCCAAAGGAATCCCCTGCATGGCGGTTTTCATTCTCTGATTCTTCAAACACGGAAGCACTGTCATCATCATCATCATCATTATCAGAAAAAGAGCTATGGTTCAACAAGAGGCAGAGGTGAATTAGATCAATGTTTTAAATTATTATGAAGGAATAACATTTCTCATTAGGAGGCCACTGCCACTGCCTCATCTTTTCTCCTTCCCTCTCAAACTAACACACGACCCCCTTTTTAAAAGCAGGCCTCATACAATGCGCAGAGCCCAATGCAAGGTTCTGTCCCATGACCCTGAAATCAAGACCTGAGCCAAAATCAAGAGGCGGATGCTCAACCAACTGAGCCACCCAAGCACCCCTACCTCATTTTAATTAGAGGGAAATGAGAACTGCTAGAATTCATGGAATTAGGTAGAGTATATGCAAAATTCAGTAACGTGTGTGTAATTAAGAAACTACTTTCTGGGTCTTCCGTATTTCTATCATTTGATGCATTGATTAATGTTAATATTTATCAAATAGAAAGTATGGTATCTATGCTTTAGGTCACATTATACATTTGCATGAACCAACCTGTAATGACGTTTCTTTCCACAAAAAATAAATTCAATATATGTGTATAAATGCCTCTTCATTTATAGGGTAACTTTAAATTATACTTCTAAAACATTCAGCATATGACACTTTATATTATTTTCACATTCATGTATGCCAGTGTTATCCCTTTAGATATGAAATGTCCCATGAGAAAAGGCCTTGCATAAGTACTTCTAAATAAGCACCACAATAATATCTATGTTCATTTGTGAGACAAGTTATGCTGTTCCAAAGTATAAACGCAGACACAAAATTAAATAAATTACAAAGAGCAGAGTCACAAATTAAAAATTAAACGGAAATTAAACCTGGTTAGATTTATGAACAGTGGCTGGTGTCAACAATGCACGGATTTACCTGCATGCTCCATTTTCCATCCTCCTTATTTCCTTTTCAATATCTGGAACAATCACATTGGGAATATTTACAAAAGAGAACCGTGTATTGATAATATTTTTCTTCATGGTTAGTTTAATATCTGGGGAGAAAAAAAGTCTTCTTAGTAGAAAGACTATATAGTTACATATACAATCAAAAGTTTCACTCTACCATTCATCTAAAGCTCTCATAATAACTTTATTTCCAGCTATATGTAGGACTTATTCTTTCATAGAATACAGATGTGGCCTAAGCCCTTCATTACCACTAGCCAGTTTTTCTGTGTATTTTTTTAAATTCCAGAATATTCCAGAGGTGTAAACTAATTTTTTTTTTAATTTTGGGTTAACCCCAGATTTTTCTCCTTTTTTTAATTTTAATTTTAATTTTTGAGAGAGAGACAGAGATAGAGACAGAGACAGCACGAACAGGGGAGAGGCTGAGAGAGGGAGACACAGAATCCAAAGCAGGCTCCGGGCTGTTTAGCACAGACCTCATCGTGGGGCTGGAACTCCCAAACCGTGAGATCAGGACTTGACTTAATCCACTGAGCCACCCAGGCGCCCCTGGATTTACCCCAGTTTTACCCCAGGTATGTGTACCTCACATACACATCACACAAATAATAAAAAGCAGTAAGATAAAATACCCAAATGAATGTAATCGGTTGTGAATTTCTACAAGGATTCCAAAGCATGGAGCATGGGAGGGGGCGGTGGTGTCTTGAATGGTATTTAAACTTCGTAGTAAAAATGTATGTGACACATTTTTAGCAAGCCCCCTAAATTATTCTTATACATATAGTGCTCGGCTTCCCGTGCAACCATCTCAAGCTTCAGGAGAAGGCCAAGAGCGAAGAGATCCTGAATTCCCTCAGGTATGTCCTACCCTGCGGTGGTTCGAGCCCAACTTCTGGCTCTTGGAGACACGCGGTGAACCTTCCAGGCGAGGTTCTGCAGTCACCCAGCGACCACGCCACTGCCCTAGTGACCGCTCAAGGTGGTCCGCCTGTATCCAGTGTGCTGCAACCACGTCGCCTGGAACCTGGAGAGGTTCCTGGTGGGTGCGATGGGTGTGCCTGTGTGCAGATACAGCCGCTGCTTTGCGACCATTGACTTCCATGCACAGCGGGGCCTTGGGGCCCAGATGTGCATAGGGCGCCCTCCTACCCACCCCTTTGTTGGGCAGTTACAGCGCTGCCCTCTGGGGTTTCCACCCAGATGGTGTTTCCTCCAAATCTGCCTGGAGGAAAATCCCTCAAGATAGGTGCTGGGTGTCCATCCCAGCCTCCCCTCTCCCACACCAAGTTTCCTCACTCTAAAAGCTCCCAGTGTCAGCAAGAGAAGAAAAAAAAATCAGTATCTGCTCACTCCAAGAACAGTGCCACTGTTTACCAGCGCTTGTATTGAAGGTGGTGCCATGGTCTGGGTTTGAAGACCCCAAAAAGGCCAACGTGACGAGAGGATGACAGCAGGGTACTGGACAACTTCAACACCTCCGGTACCTGCACCTGATCTTCCCAGGCTGCCTGGTCATCTATCCATCCCCTCCCCCACAACGCACACCTAGCCTGTGCTCCCAGTTTCTTATTACATGGCTTGGGGATTTTCCTTTGTTATTTTTCTACCACTGATTTCAAGGTTTGGGCAACAAACTTGCCTTTGTTATTAATAACATAGAAAAGCAAAAAAGAAAAAAAAAAGAAAGGCGGAGAGAGAAGGAATCATTTGATGTGGAAAAATGTGTAAAACACTTCATTCTTTATAGTAAAATATGTTAAAGAATGATTTGCTTTTTGGGGCGCCTGGGTGGCTCAGTTGGTCAAGCATCTGACTCTTGATTTTGCCTCAGGTCGTGATCTTAAGGGGTTCATGAATTCAAGACCCACCTTAGGGGCTAATTCATTTTGAAAGACAGAGATAGCATGCGTGGGAGAAGGGCAGGGAAAGAGGAGGAGAGAGAGAATTCCAAGCAGGCTCTGCACTGCCAATGCAGAGCTGGACATGGGGCTCAAATTCATGAAACTATGAGACGATAACTTGAGCCAAAACCAAGAGACAGCTGCTTAACTGACTGAGCCACCCAGGTGTCTCAATATCTAATGACTAAAAGTTTCAGAACATAATACGTACCTTGATATCAACATTGTCTTAACAGATGCCTAATGTGGTTTGGGGTTTATAAAAATATTTTTAGCATTTTACTCTTAAGCATGGTGCCAACTCTTGGTTTGAGAGAAATGGTTGATTTGTGTTAAGGAAGTCTCCATTTATTCTTATTTTATTAATGTTTTAAAATTAGAAATAGGAATGAATATTGATTTTTATTAAAGATCTCTTACTTTTATAGAAATGATCATATTTTCATATTTTTCCTTTTAATTTTTTTCTATTAACGTGATGAGGTATATTAATGAATTATTTTAATAGTTATGAAATAAACTTGTCCTGATTATGGTAAATTCCTCTTTTCATATGCTATTGGATCCTAACTGCCAATACTGTATTTTATTTTGAAATTTTTACATTAAAATTTTTTCCATTGTATTAAATTGCAAAATTAGTCTATTGCTTACAAAGGGTTTTTAATAATCAGTATCCGTTAATGTTTTTCATATACTTTTCAACTCTTTTGGTATCATTGGGCTGTTAAGAAGGCATCTGAAAAGAACAAAAAGATTCTTCTTTTAGAGAATTCATTGCTTTGCTGGTTTTCCCAAATATGAATCTTGAATCAAAATTTGTGAATCAAAAAGAAGCAGCTGCTTTTAGAAAGTAAGTTTCAGGGATGCCTTTCTGGCTCAGTTGGTTGAGCATCCAGCTCTAGCTTTGCTCATGATCTCACAGTTCATGAGTTCAAGCCCCACGTCGGGATCTGTGCTGACAGCTCAGAGCCTGGAGCCTGCTTTGGATTCTGTGTCTTCTCTCTCTGCCCCTCCCCTAGGCATGCTTTGTCTCTCTTCCTCTCAAAAAGAAATAAATATTTTTTTTTAATATTTTTATTTTATTTCTAGGAGAGAGAGAGAGAGACAGCGTGAGCGGGGGGGGTCAGAGAGAGAGGGAGTCACAGACTGAAACAGGCTCCAGGCTCTGAGCTGGCAGTCAGCACAGAGCCCGATGCGGGGCTCGAACCCACGAACCGCGAGATCATGACCTAAGCGAAAGCCGGACACTTAACCGACTAAGCCACCCAGGTGCCCCTATTTTTTTTTAATTTAAATACAAAGAAAGTAATTTCAGTTTTCATTTTTAGCTGAATCACAAAAATTTTCCACTTAAATGAGGATGTAAAAACCTGTACAAAGATAAAGCAAAGCAAATGACTGGGAAAATCTTAAGGACAGTTCCAGCAAAATTAATTTGGAATATAAACTACGAATGCCCAGGAAGGCATCTATGCTATTGATTGACATCAGGCTCTAACTTGGGTTCCAATCCTGACTCTCTCACTAGCTGAATGAACTCAAGTGAGTTTTTATAACCTTACCGAACCTCAATTTTAACATCTATAAAATCAGAATAATAATATCTTTTATATCAAAAAGCAGAAAAGATATGTTGTGAGCCCCCAATCGCAAACCCACATGTAAAAACATAATTAAGTATGCAGCAGTGATTCTCTAAATTTGGTAGGAATGATTCCTGTGAAAGTTGTTTAAAATGTAGGTATCACGGCCCTGGTCTCTTGAGTATGAAAGAAGTATCAATTGAAGTAGACATGAATCTACAATTTCATCAAGCACCATAAGTAATTCTGTTTCAAGGGATTCCTGAGTAACACTTAAAGGAAGATTACTGTATGCTATTGACCTTGGTACACTAGCCCAGTCATATCTGTCTTTCTGAATATAGTAGTGGGAGGCATGAAATAACTATCAGAAAAGCCTTCAACATTGCTGTTACTTCTCTGACATTTCAGATCTACAGATCTGAAAACTTGAGAATCAATTCCTGAAGACAAAATTTACAAACACCTTTATAATCAAAAGTCAATTTCATAACAGAATACAAAAAAATATAGACTTTGATTTGAAAAATGGTCTGTAAAATTCACTATATTAATAGGAAAAAAAGATGAGAAAAGCCATATGATAATTTCAACAGATGAAAAAAAGGCATTTGACAAAATTCAACACCTATTTATAATACAAAACCTCAGCAAATTAGGAATAGAAAGGAACTTACTCAACCCCATAAAGAATCTGTACCAAAAAACCTGTAATTAACATCATACTTAATGATAAAAGACTGAATATATTCTCCCTAAAGTCAAGAACAGGCAAAGATACTTTAGACATATTCAACATTGTGCTGTCTCTTGCAACAAGCCCAGGAAATATTTAAATATTAAAAAATATAGAAGACGCTTTTCACGAAGATGGCGCCAAAGGCAAAGAAGGAAGCCCCTGCCCCTCCCAAAGCCGAAGCCAAAGCAAAAGCCTTGAAGGCCAAGAAAGCAGTGCTGAAGGGCGTCCACAGTCATAAAAAGAAGAAGATCCGCACGTCACCTACATTCCGATGGCCCAAGACACTGCGTCTCCGAAGGCAGCCCAAATATCCTCGAAAGAGCGCCCCCAGGAGAAACAAGCTTGACCACTATGCCATCATCAAGTTCCCACTGACGACCGAGTCAGCCATGAAGAAAATAGAAGACAACAACACTCTTGTGTTCATTGTGGATGTCAAGGCCAACAAGCACCAGATCAAACAGGCTATGAAGAAGCTCTATGACATTGACGTGGCCAAGGTCAACACTCTGATCAGGCCCGATGGAGAAAAGAAAGCCTACGTTTGACTGGCTCCTGACTATGATGCTTTGGATGTTGCCAACAAAATTGGAATCATCTAAACTGAGTCCAGCTGGCTAAATCTAAATATAATTTTTGTCACCAAAAATATATATATATATATATAGAAGACATCCATATAGTGAAGAAATTAAACTATCTTTATTTGCAGATGACATAATAGTGTATCAAACAACTGTAAAGAACCTAAAAAAAAAATTAGAACAAATAAGTACTTGACAAGGTCTCAGGACAAAAGTCAATGTAAAAATTTCATTTATGTCTGTATGTTAGCAATGAATAATTAGA